CCGTCCCCGCAGCGGACGCCGTTTTTATTTCAGGCCGGAACGTCCAAAGCCGGGACGGAGTTCGGGGCCAAGCACGCGGAGGCCGTGTTCATGGGCGGTCAGCTACCGGAACTGGTGCGGAAATCCGTCGACGCGCTACGGTCGACGGCCAAGGAGAAGTTCGGTAGAGACCCGAGCCATATCAAGGTGTTCACGGGGGTCACCGTCATCGTCGACGAGACCGACGAGAAGGCGCAGGCTAAGTACAAGGAGCTGCTCTCGTACGGGGATCGCGAAGGCGCGTTGGCGCTCTTTGGCGGATGGACGGGGAATGATCTTTCGGGCTACTCGGACGATGAAGATCTGGTCCTGGTAGACAAGCCAGCGATCCGGTCAATAATCAATCGTTGGTCGACTACGGTCCCGGGGACGGAAGGCCTGAGCTGGACGAAGTCCCGAATCGCGGAGTTCCTTTCCATAGGAGGAATGATGTAAGGAATCCCGCGGTAACCCCTACTAAGATGAAAAGAGGGCATTGCTGATAATATGCTGCAGGCCAAAGATCATAGGCAGCCCTGAGACGGTCGTCGACGAACTCGAGAGATGGGCCGAGGTAGCGGACGTAGACGGCTTCAACCTTGCACACGTGGTTAACCCTGGATCGTTTGAGGATATCATCGATTTCGTGATTCCCGAGCTACGAAGAAGGGGAATTTTTAGAGAAGAGAGTGAGCAGGAAGGTGTCACTGCAAGGGAATTATTTTTTGGCCAGCCGCATCTCCTGAGCGACCATCCGGGCCATCAATTCAAGTGGCCGATACCCGAAGCCGAAGCCGAGGGTGGCGTAGCATCGTAGAACTGGATGAGAGAAGGGGACCTCATTCGGGAGAGGAAGGGATGTAAGGGAGACACCAACTCTGTCAGTGGATTATTGTGTTTTGCGTCGTAAGCTGAAGTGGCTCAAGTCGTCGAAAGGACGCAGCTGAAGTCGGCGTTAATGTTATTGTCTCAGGGGTGAATTTGGCTTATAAGAAGATATGCAGTTTATCCATGTTGATTTCGCACTACCATCCTGCGTCTCAGTTTGAATCGCTATCGGTCCCCGTACACTCTTACTCACCGCAAGGTTACGTTGAAGCACCTCAAGAAACGGTATTATAAGATCGTTCGAATCTCAACCCAGCAGTCTGACTCGTATCTCGCCGAGTACTTTATTCCCCTATCGTGGGGTGCCTTTCCCGCTGAGCAGTGCCTCTCGTGAGTCAAGCTAATGTAACGAGAAATGATACCTGTCTAACGACATGCTGATAGCGCCATTAGGGTTACTCCTCTACCGTGTGTCTACCCGATCAGAAGATGTGATCTAGTCCGCGCATTCATGAGGCTAGAAACCATCCCTCAAGCCTGGGACACAAGAGGCTGCAAGGCCGTCAACATCTCACCGATTGAACGCGTCGCGACTGCAGAGGAGGTGCGTGATATCCCTTCACCATGGCAGCCTTCGTATCTACGGCAAGCCGCTCTGTTCATCCGGAAGAACCACGACGACGAGGTATTCAAGCTACGCACGCACTACGGCGACGACGATGAAAAGTTCGCTGAGTGGACCTCCATTTTATGGCGGTAGAAGCGTATCTCATTGTAGCCGACCGCGAGGCTTGAGACTGATCAGCTACGGATCCTTTACCTTGATGCCAAGGCCAATCAATATACTAGGTAGGCTTGCACCTAAAGATGTTTGGATAGCCCGTGAGAAATGGAATGCAGCCAATTTCAGAGACAGACAATGGTGGAGGGGTAAACGTTAGCCTGACAACCTGGGTAGTTTCGGTGAAAAGTACAAGTCTAAAGGTGAGAAAAGACGCGTTTATACGTTGTGGAAGACCTTCTATGACTTTATGCCTTCCATAACAGAGAGCAACATCAGTAAGGAGTAAATAGTGGTATAACTAAATCCGGTAGTGTTGGTTCCCCAAGTAGAAGCTGGCAGGGCTGGCAGGGCTGGCAAGGGGAGAAAAGGAGATGAGAAATCGGTCATCGTATGTATTCTGACGTCGTACAAATCCGGTTCGGCGGTTAAGGTTCGGTAGTCAACGGCGACAAGCGGTTCTAACAAGCCTGTGACGTAATTGTGTATCATTGGGGGCCTTGTATTCCGTAGCTTGACACGGCTGTGGAGTGGTACAGTTCTCTTTTGGGCGGCAGGTCAGCAACTAAGCTCACTAAATTAAATCTAGTTGATTCCCAGACCCCTAGGACCGCTTGGCTTAGGAGGTAGGTACCCTCTAAACCCCTCTGACGAAATAACCCACAACTCAGCTGCCCAGGCGGCCAGGTACAGCTTAGGCGAGGTATCGTAGACATCTCCAGGCTCCCAAATATTTGGATTGGCTCCCATTCGGATTGCGTGTTCATTCTCACGCCCCCAAATCAATAGCGGGCTCTTTTATTAATTCCCTTATTATCCATAACTCAGGTTCATATTACAGTAGGCTTCTCGTAACATTGACGTCGTCGTGCGATAATATTTTCTACCTTGCGAACTCGTCCCATTCTGTTGTCCGCCGTTTACATTGTTTTCGCCATCTTCGTTGACGAAGTTGCTTACACCCCCCATACGCCGTACCTAACGCCCCAAGGACATCCTGACTCGCTAGAACACATGACTACTGCAACTCATACATATATCTAGATCCCTGGATACACCACCATTGGAAAGTTTGCCAAGTTCGTATCCGAAACCTTGAGCTTCCGCCATTGGGCCGAGGCTCGCATTCCGTCAGCCGCCGAAAATGTCGTCTACCAACGTTCAACCCAATGATAGCCACGATAACATCTTAAGACCTCGACCACGTAAGCCGCAACACGCCCAAGTAACCGAATTAGTTAGGGAGCACAGCACCGGCTCTGTCCACGGACATCTCGAGCCGCACGTAGACGAGACCGCGTCAGGCGCAACAAGGTAAGACATCCCCTACCTCCATACTTCCATAGGCCGGTCACCGAAGAAATCTAACCCGGTTATACATGATAGTGGTCGTTCGTCACCCATCCCCGAAAATGCCCCCGCGTCGACGAAAGCTCTATCCAGTGCGCGGAAGCAAGTGCGCGCCGAGCAGCGACGACGTCTCTTCCCGACCATCGAGTACGCCTCGCGCGTCTCCCACTTCGATCCCGAGTCCGACTACCGCGATTTCCACGGCTTCTTCAATCTGTTCTGGATCGGCTTGGCCATCATGGGTATCACGACCATGCTGCGCAACTACAAAGACACCGGGTACCCCTTGCGCATACAGATATGGACCCTCTTTACCGTCAAACTGTGGCATCTAGCCATAGCCGATTTCTTGATGGTCGGAACGACCGCTGTTATCTTGCCGCTTCATAAGGTATTCAGGAGCAGCCGCGGGGCATTGACGTGGAAGAAGGGCGGCACGGCGATTCAGAGCATCTACCAGGTCCTGTGGCTTGCGTTCTGGGTCGCCGTACCGTTCATCTTGAACTGGACGTGGACCTCCCAAGTCTTTTTTCTGTTGCACACCATGGTTCTGCTGATGAAGATGCATTCCTACGCTTTCTACAACGGACATCTGTCCCAGACGGAAGAGCGACTGCGTGCCCTCGACGAACCTCATAGCGCCTCGAAAGCTCCGGCGTATAACTACCCTTCTGTCGAGAAGCCGATGGGCGAATTGGTACACGAGGACATGAAGATCGACAGCGACAGCGAGGACGAGGGGCTCTCGCAGCTGCGTGAGGACTTGGCTCGCGAGCTGACAAGCCCTATCGGCAATGTGACCTACCCGCGAAATCTGTCCTGGTCCAACTACTTCGACTACCTTCTCTGCCCGACGCTATGCTACGAACTCGAATACCCACGCAGCGCGTCGATCAACTGGACATCTCTAATCGCCAAGATCATCGCGACCTTCGGCTGCATTTTCCTGTTGACCATCATCTCAGAAGAGTTCATCCTGCCCGTGCTCCAGGATTCGACGGTGCGCCTGGACAAGTCGTCGGCGGTCCTGGAGACGCTGCTGATCCTGGCCGAGACCATCTCGTGGCTCCTCTTCCCCTTCATGCTGACGTTCCTCCTCGTCTTCCTCGTCATCTTCGAGTACGTGCTGGGCGCCTTCGCCGAGATCACGCGCTTCGCCGACCGCCACTTCTACAGCGACTGGTGGAACAGCACCGACTGGATGGAGTTTAGCCGCGAGTGGAACGTGCCCGTATATTCTTTCTTACGAAGGCACGTGTACGCGACCTCGAAGCCGAGCATCGGCCGCAACATGGCCACGCTCATCACGTTCTTGATATCGGCTGTCGGCCACGAGATCGTCATGGCTTGCATCACGAAGAAGCTGCGCGGCTACGGCTTCATCTGCCAGATGCTGCAGCTGCCCATCGTCATGCTGCAGCGCACGCGCTGGGTGCGGTCGCATAAGACGGCGAATAACGTGCTGTTCTGGGCTAGTATGATCATGGGGTTGAGCTTGGTAAGTCGGTTTCGTTTCCACCAACTTACGATATCGGTATGACTAACAGGTTTAGATATGTTCGCTCTACGTCCTGGTTTAATCGGCCACGAGCTGTTCCGTTTTTTGCGAAGCATGTAGCAAAAGGGGAAAGGAACTTGGGGTTAAGAAAGACTATAGTTCCCAGTGTGTAGGTAAGAAAGAAATTTGCGTAAAATTCGGTCACATTGCCCCAACTCGCCGTCCTACCAATCCAACAGGTCGGCCTTGTACTATCTATGTTTTCTTGCATTTACTTCAGATATACCCAAGACCACCTCGTCGATAGCATGACAGACTAAATAATAAGGTTCTCATGAATATTTGATCGACCGCTATTTATATGGAGGGCCTAGAGATGTGCTGTGTTCCATGCCAAAAGTATTGGTTATCCTGGTACCTATATCAAAGACAAGCCAGCGGAGGGATATACCGGGTAGTCAGTAGCCGGTGGCCTCCCTAGGTGAAGCTGTAAAGGGAGGGGGACTGTAAAAAGGAAAAATCAAGCATAGGTAGGTAGGGAATCGAACCCCCAACTCCTCCCTGAGAGGGAGGCATGTTACCCATTACACCATACTAATCTACATAGCATTTTTGTAGTCGGTATATGTCGCTGAGTGATATTACCAAATATACCTAACCTATCTTGATGGGTTGGTATTATCAGATTGAAACGTAAAGCTGAAAAAGGGAAAAATGGAAAAAGTTTCCGGCACGAGAATCGAACCTTGAGCTCCCCATTGTGAAGGAGGTATGTTAATCATTACACTATACCGGCCTAGTCATATTCCTCTAGGAGATCCTGGTAACTTTCTGAAAGCCATTGTCAAATATATCTCGACGGTTCAGCAATACCAGATGGGAAGTTAAAGCAATAAAAGGAAAAAAGATTTCCGACACAGGGAATCGAACCCCAAGCTCCTCCTTGAAAAGGAGATATGTTAGCCATTACACTATGCCAGATTTAAACCCCTTGAATCGTGGCATCCGTCTTTTACACTTCTCAGTGCTATTGCCCATTATCTAAGGGTTCAACTACAACAGACTTAAAGTAGGAAACGTGCCGGTATATAGCCAAACCTAAGAAGATAGATACCTAAGCAATGGGCAAACTACTCCATTGGCATTTAAGAGTTATGGGAATTTTGAGATGATGTTTTCTAAGATGGTAGTCGACGAAAAGAATACTGACGTATACTTTGTGCTGTAGGAATGTAGAGGCGTGCGGACAGGAAGAAAAGAGGAAAAGAAATATTAGGGGGAGAAAGGAAGTGATTCTAAAAAGCGTACATTATCTACATAAGTAGGTAGATAGGTATATTTGGGTATATCTTGATGATTTTGATGGCTAAGCAATCCCCTCATCTCCGAGTACGGGCTTGTAAAGCAATCATTTCTGATCGGACCTACATAAGCTCAAGGGTATTGTCCCGAAATCATGTACGTACGAAGGAATCTTTTTGCCCGTAGGTACTTCACCAGGGAGTAGTATAGGCCGAGAAGAGAATAGTCTGTCAAGGAGCAGATTTTGTCCTTGCAATTTCCCCGTGGAGTGTACGTAGAGTGAATCCCAGCTGAGTTACAATATTATACGCAAACCCTCATCTTTTACAAAATAAAGGGGTCCAATCCTATAGAATCGCTGGCGGCGGTGATTGGTCAGGCGTATACAACCTGACAAGCTTATTGGCTCGGCAGACAGGACATCGTATAGACCTCACACCCACAGCTCACAGTTCGCAACAGTACGGTAGTACACGCGACCCAAGTCATAATTCAATGCGTACCTAGATACCAACCACGTCAACTCAGAGACGTCATCTAATCTTCGTGTCTGCTATCGCGATCACTTCCCATCGTCAAAATAGATGTGACGTCGCCCGTTATAGAATAGGCATCTTGCATTAGTCGTTGAAGCCCAATGCCAACCCGATAACTCAGCACTCGGCAACATGACGGAATAAGTCAAAGTCGAATTCGCTATATCGCAAGCCTTCTTCGAGAATGGCCCCTTTGCCCATTACGTCAAAGACCCTCGCAGGATGGAAACACGCTCCTCGCTCGGCATACCCCGGACTGCAGCCCCATTTGACGTACAGGTCCGCACAGCATCATGTAGGTATGTACACGATTGATGGCCAACCCGTACTCAAATTTCCGGGGTGTGGCACCAAGACGCGAGGGCAAACCAATGATAAGGCAGGTCGTATAGTAAAGCACGTGTTCGATTATCAATTGTCCAATTCGAGATGACGAGCGTTCGGTTACCAAAACCCAACCACAAACCACCCACAAGTGTACCTACTGCTGCCGTACGAAGAAGCACAGCAGTAACTTTGCCACAATTTGATAGCAGCAATTGCACGTCGCGACCCAGATCACGTCATCGGGAACACCTCACTGTTTCCGTTCCGCATCTTTGGGGGCTGCTGTGTCATAAGTGGAACTTGGAACTCGAATCGATCTGGCGTTTCGAGAAGGACAAGGAATTCCGTGCGAACGTGTAGGAGCAGGCCGGCGTCATAGTAGGTAGCCGGGTGTTGGGTAATCGCACGGAAACGTTGACCTTAGCCGTCGCCGCCTTCGTCATCGTCTATCACCTTCACTCGAGACTGTAGGACAACTCCCCTCCTCGAACCAATCACACAGAGACAACACACGATTCGACGAACACAGCTTGCGGCAGGGTCTAACTCATCTGCAGGTGAACTCACGGCATACGAGCAGGTAAGGTAAGCAGGCAGATCGCGTCTTCCTCGTGTCCATGCAACAGCATAGACCACGACGAAAAAAAAAAAAAAAAAAAATGTGTGTAACGTTAAAAATAGGAAAAACTAACAGGCCAAGCCCTCGAGGGCTGAAAGATCCGTCGGATGTCGGATGCACCCACGGCCTGCGATACGGTCTAGGAAACAAACGCTGGATCCCTATCCCCGAGGAATCTTGAGTTCTCGGGGATCCCAGTTGCGAACCGCCCCGAGGCAGCCCGCCAGACCTGGGGAAGAAAGAAGAGAAGAGAACAGAAGGGGTGGGAGTGGGAGATGGGGTTGGTTCGATTCAGGAGGTGGAAGTCGGGAATGGGAACGTGAGAGAGAAGAAGTCGCTGTAATAGCCATGGGTGCCTACTCAAAAGATAGATACAATTCATCATCTATATGCCCGAACCAAGAAGAAAGGGGAAAAGGCACTTTCATCGAGTCTGTCTCACCCGTTGCATCGAGTCCTAGACGCGACTTCACCGCCTTCACCGCCAGACCGAAATGTGTAAATCACCAAATTATATAGCTTCACTGCATAATCATATAACCACTCAAAAGTGCACATTCTAGATCCGCTTATCCGAAGGCAAGCGAATTTTTGAGTCCAGCTGAGCTGTTTAGCCTCCCCTATCTTCGTAATGGCGTGTTACACGTTCGTCATCGTGGCACTTTACTCTGTCCCGTATTAGATAATGATAGTTGAAGGCTGAATGAAAGAGAAAAAAAAAAAAAAAAAAAAAAAAAGCAGTAGCAGTAGTATTCATTCACTTAGAGCTCATAAGAATTGAAGATAGCGTGACAAGAGCAAACAGACGTGGTCTGCTCGACATGTATTCATTTCGTCCATAACATAAACGTTAAACGATATATGCCTAATAACTATTCATCTGGAAAACCTCTTCTTTCGATCGGGATTTCTCTTTCAAATGGTCAACTTCTTCAGATAATATTCTTGTTCACCCACACACTTCGGTCATGAGAATGCTCCGTCCTTGCCTTGCGCTGCTACTACGAAGTGAAAAAACGCCTCGTAAATGAATGGACGAATGGACGCAAGAATAAATTCCTTGTGAAGCTATGCCCTTCCCCCCCTCCTCCACCAGATAGAAAATAAAAATAGGAATTTAAATAGATAAAAACCCACCCCTGACCGGCCTGATATCGTGGTTTCTTTGCTCCTCATATGCAGTTATGTGTATATATAGAAAATGTAAAAAAAAAAAAAAAATGGCGGGAAAAATTGGTCATTATAAATGAAATAGACGAGATTGGAAATACATGCGAATATCCAATAACGGTAAGACATCTCTCGTAAGTTTCGTAGGAGCCTAAAGGGGTAGTCGCCCTCTTGGATGGGGGTCGAAAAGGTGAGCAGGTCAGAGAAATTCCATGTCGTGGCGTGACTAGTGAGATTGTCGAATTCGGAAAAGACCGCGGGGCTTTTTGCGTCATGACTCGTACTAGAGTAACTCGAGCCTCATGATGATGGATGATGCCTTGTGCGGAGGGAACCTATCCAGCTCAGCTCTAAGCCCGCCTGAAACCACAAAAGTCCACGCTTCTGCCCCCGAACTTCCTCAGTCCTTGATAGTTGCCTGGCTTGTACGCATCTTGTTTCATCCCTCAGCCCGTTTAGAAAGACGTCAACTCGTTACTGTATTTCATCAATTTCTTCAACGGTGCACCGCATCCCAAAACGCCCAAGCACCCGAAACGCCGTATTCAATTCACGGGAAACACCGCAGCGATAGAAGTGTCCCAAAAATACATGGGGATTAAAGCCAGAAAACGACCTCGCTGATGACTTTGGTAGAGCAGTGTCGACTAGACCGCGGCCGAATAACCCCTAGAATCTTTTCTAGAGGACCTTTATGTGTAAACCTCCTCCCGAAGCGGTGTATGCGTCACGTCCGCGAACTTGACATCGCTTTGGTCGTAGGTGTTTGAATATCTGACGTTTGGAAAATAGGTACCACGAGGCTCCTCTTCATATTCGTCATAATAATGAGGGTCCACTGCTCGACGCGCCGAACTATTAGCCGACGGGTAGCCCTTTCTAGAGCTCCTAGGCGCCTCCTCAAAGTATGACGACCCTACGGGAATGGCTCTGGAGCTATTTTCCTTGACCGTGTATCGCCTCGTCGAGGTACGCGTCGGCATCGGCATGGGTTCGGGCGACTGTGCTCGTCGAGTGCGACGATGCTGACGATCCCTATCGTCCTCAGACGATTCATCCACGTATCTGCGGTTGTGGCGTGAGTGGCTCCGTTCTCGGGTGCGACCAGAGTCCATCCAAGTCGCCGCACGCTCTAGGCCGGGGGCCACAGGTGGACGAGAATAGTCATCGATCGTGGTCGACCGGTGCATAGGGCTGGGCATCGTGCTGGACTTCTGGAAAGTGGGTACGGTACGGGCGGCGGGAGAGGAGCCCTCGACAATGAGCGGTTCGCGAGAGTTGGATTTCTTGTGGGGCGGCTTATCCTTTGAGGATCGAGGAGTGTCGTGCGACGGGCGTCGGGTCCTCGTCGACGATCTCCTTGCCGCATCGTCATCTACCGTTTCTTCTCTCAGGCCGGATGCAGGCGGGGGCGCGAACACGGCGGTAGCGGCCGGTGGCGGTGTCGGCACGGCGATGGGGTTTATATGCCTGAAGGTACCGGTTTGGTCGGGATGGTACGTCTGGGCCCGGCTGAGTGAGGCAGGAGGGTTTCCCCCGGACCTACTCAGGTACCGGTATGCCTGTTCCAGATGGGCCGAGTATTTCCTTTCGCGGTCGGTTCCCAACTCCGCCGTATGGCTTGTTTCCAGTGGCGGTGTCGGAAGCGGATCTTCATACTTTCGGCTGCTGCTCGACTTCTTCTCCGGCTTCGACGAGGACGTTTGGTAGGCGCCCTCGTCGGGCTCTTCTAGGTAAGGGGATTTGTTGCGACGACGGTGCTTCTCGTCGGCGTCTTTACGACGCTCCTTTTCGGATTTCTTCTTATCCTCTTTACGTTCCTCCTTCCGTCGATCCTTATCTTTCTTAGCCAGCTCCTTTTCTCGACTCTCCCTGTCCTTTTCCCTCTCCTTCTCTATCGCCCTTTCCTCTCTCTCGCGCTGCAATTCCTTCTGTCGTTGTGCCTCCCTAGCTTCCCTAATTTCCTTTTCTCGTGCTCTCGCCCTCTCCTTTTCGCGAGCCCACTCCTCTTCTTCTTTTCGTTTCAG